CATTAGTCCTTTCAGTTTTCAAATTGTTCTTATCATTCTTAACAGTATAATTTTTGTTTGACTTACCTAACAGCTTTGATCTGCACACTTTAGCTAAATGATTCTTTTTTCCACAAAAATGACATACCACAACACCCAATAATCTGCACTCATTTCTCATGTGACCGAAGCCACCACAACAAAAACACTGCACTGATTTGTGTTGAGGTCGAGGTGTTGACTTTGACGTTTGATTGTGCTGCTGGGCGCCGCCGCTGCTCCCTGAATCTCGTCGTCGTTGTGCCGCTGCCATTCGCAACACCTTGCCGCCGCTGCTGCCGACCGTCAACGCCGCTGCATTCTTCTCCGCCGCTTCCGCTGATGAGACGATCTTCACAGCTTGATCAAACGTTAAACTGGACTCTGATAACAGTTTCTGTTTGATAGTGTCGCTTCTTATTCCACTAACTAGACGATCTCGAAGAAAGTCGTTCAACGATGCGCCGAACTCACAGTGCGTGGACATCTTCTTCAAATTTGCTACGTATTCGGCAACTCCTTCCCCCTCTAATTGGTTGCGTTTACTAAACTTGTAACGTTCCGCGATGAATGATGGTTTAGGATGTAAATGATCCTGAATTAACTTTACTATATCATTAAAAGATTTCGCGTTAGGTTTATCGGGCGTGCACAAATCGCGTAACAGATTGTACGTTTTCTTCCCGACTACTGTCAATAAAGTACTCACTTTTTTGGCATCACTAATCCCGTTACACTCGACAAATAACTCAAACCTTTCAATGTACGAGGTCCAAGATTCTTCACTCCCGTCAAAGTCTCCGATTCCGCCGATGATTCCAGACATTGTATCTTGTTCAAAGAAGACACGAGATAAAATTAACACTGGGTTGTCGTAATCGGACATTAACCCTAATACTTATAAAAATACGGTCGAACAGTTACACCGCACACACGAATAGTTAGGTTCTTAATAACGCCATTGTTATCACTGTAACTTCCTCGTCGCCAGTGTGACGTCGCCGGTGTGACGACGTCTTAACTTGACAGGAGACGGGACTAGTGAGAAATAAAAACTACATAATTAGATAATACCACGGGCTGCACGGACCGGGATAAAGGTGTACGGTTGCAGGACTAGGACGGACTGACGTAGTGGTTAGATGCACGGGTATAGCGTGGTCGCGGCAGCCAATGGGAATTTATTAAAAATCACCTGATATGACGTCACAGACGTGGCGTGATGTACACACACACTAACACACACTTACATTTTATACAAATCTGGTTTCCTACAAGAAACGCTGTTTTACAACTATAATATTGAATACATAAAATCATTAAATATACTACAGTAATAATGGTAACAAGTAACAAGCAGTAATGACGGTAACTTTACAACAGGCAATAACAACAACGATTAAATAAGACCAACAAAATAGACTATATGGCAACAAAGATAACAAATTATAAACTGTGAGAATAATAACAAAAGACAGTAAAATATTACAAAAGTATTAACAAAAGTATAATTTGTGGGAGTGTGTGTGTGTGACGTGTGTGTGTGCATGCATGACATGGGAAGAACACTGTGTCAAACACCAAACACCATGCTAAAAAGCACCAACTTTCATTTGTGGCCCTTTAAAGGCACCACCTATATTGCACTGCACCTCGCTGAGGTAACACCAGCCTCAAAACAGAACTAAGGTGTGGCCCTTTAACACGTTCGCTACTGCAATAGTACGAAATTTTCCATTCACATGGACCAGCGACGCACATATGCGACGGCCGGTTTCTACCCATAGACTGCCGTCGCATATATGCGACGGCTAGTCACATTAAAATAGACTGCCGACGCATATTTGCGTCGGGGTTCTAATGTTATTAAAATGCTTATATCTTTGTAGTGGTCTATTTGAAGGCTCTGAATTCCCTGCAGTGGTCTACAGAGATGTCTGACGCACAACTGCGTCGCTTGGTCTGTGGATATGATGATTGGTGACGTCATATAATAGTAGGAAAAACTGGTCTTTACTTTTCTGCATCACTGTATGTATGTATGCAGTATGTATGCTGCATTATCCTATGTAGCTTTTATATTTGTTCAGTTATAAACTGTTCTTGAATAATCTGTTTATTTTTTTACTTACTTTCACCTTAAAACTCAAAAAAATGAGCCGTCGCATATATGCGACGTTTAGTCTATTTCAAGAAAACTATGATAATTTTCACTATTGTTTTCGCTGTAGACCGGGCGTCGCAAATATGCGACATTACAAAAGGTTATAAAAAATATATAAAAAACAAGAACAATTTATTTACAAACACTATTGTAGCGTATTACAATGTAAATGATCACTGATTTACAGGTTTTCGCCCATGGTCTGTGTGTACTGTTATCCAAGTGACAGCCGGTTTATGTGTAAGATTGAAATGTATACCTCGGTCTGTGGCAATGACCGCGGCGTCGCATATATAGCGACGCTCAGTAGTGAACGTAAAGGCACCACTTAAACAAGAACTACACATCACTTGTTCCCACAGGAGGGCAGGAAAATGCTTCTTTCTCTCTTGTAAATATCTTGAGGCGTCTCTCTTGAATGAGGAAGAAGAAATCCCGAAGAAGTCACGCATGAAGGCAATGAAGGTTTACTAATCGCAAAAATAGTTCTGTTCATAAAATAAAATTATAAATGCCTCAAATTCAATTTTATATTTTTTTTATTATAAAATTACTAACATAACCTAACCGAACTAACCAAACTTGCTGATAATGAAATAATATAAAAAGTTCATTAATAGAAAAAAAAATTCTGTTCATTAAATAAAACTAGAAATTGCTCGATTAAAACTTTATAATGACTTAATAATAAAATTAAACTGTCATAACCGAACCAAGACCAAACCATACCAAACCAACCAAACTTGCTGATAATGAAAAAAATCTTAGTCAAAAAGTTAGTGCCACCAGCGGAATTCGAACCCGGGACTCTCGCTAACCACTGGTCAGCACCTCTGGTCAGCACGCTAACCACTAGACCACCGAGGCCGATGGCTGAAAGCCGTATTGTTACGGTAATGGTGTTCCCTCTGCTAATGACTAATGAGAAGCCCACAGCTGTCATCGTAACCTCATCTATACCTCCCCTGAGTAAATACCAGTTATCAGGGTGTTGAGTGTCGATCGATAAAGAATGTTTATTTTGTGCTCTAAGGTAACGAAAAAAAACGAAAAAAAACTGACACTGACACTGACAGTGACAGTTGGAGTTGACAGTAATGAGTGACAGTGTAGTGTTATCTTTCTTTATCTAATTTTGTAACATGCTATTGAGGTAATGACATAGATGAGACTGATCTTATTCTCCAAGAGAGCAAACAAAGATATTTTAATTTGTTGAGTATTAATTCCGTTTAGCTTAACTTACAGTGACCAGTTTATTAGGTCTAAGTTTCTCTAACAGTGATATTTTTGTAATGTTTTAAGTAAGGATAGGCTATTAAACCTAGGCCTAGGCTATGTTAGGCTAGCCCTACATTGGCTAACTTATTTGGTCATTTATTTACGAGAACATGACTCTGGGAATTTGAACATTTGAATGAAAAATATCTGTAAATAGACTATTCGATATATCGATTATTTCATTCGGTTAGTTAGGTTAGGTTTTAACCTAACTAAGTTAACCAAACTTGATACATCAAATGAAATAATCGATACCTAAGTATATCGATCGATATATTCATTCAAATGAGTGAAGGACGTAAACTAAAGTGCAGCCGGTTTAAGTTAAGTATGTAGCCTAGGCTATCACTAGAAATTAATTATAGATTTTTACCTGAAAATCGTAACGCAATTTTTTGACAAAATAATAATTAGGTTTACCTTCAATCAGAACCTGGCGTTGATTTAATTCTTCATGGTTGAACGTCACCTAGATAGGCCCTAATTTATTTAGATTACAACTTAAGTTAGGCTAGCCTATGTATTTTTCTTTTATTGACGCCGACACATCTAGGTGCATAGGCTTAAAAATTACTTAAAACTTGCGGTATTTTAAAAGAAGAGTTTTGAATGAATTAGGCCCTATCTTAAGCTAATTGTCAGCTTTGTATAGTACTAACTAAGATCAACTGGTTCTGAAGCCAAGATCATCTTAATTTACCGGTAAGCCCAATGATCAGGAGACCTTGGTTCTGTAGAATTGTTTCTTCATTGGTAAGTTTATGTAAGAACCGACACAAAGCTAAAGCCTTAAAACAACCCACATAACTTATACGGTACCGGTATTAGTGTTTCACATTTTTAAAACTGTTGGCTTTACCATGGTTTCTACAAATATGAGTTAACTTAATGCTTTGCATTTTTTAATTAACAAAAATATTGCTAACTTATGTTGGGTATTTTCATGTAAGAGTAGGCCTAACTTATAGAGGTCACATTTCACATACAGTAGACTCCCTCCTATCCGGACTCCTCGGGACCGAGGCCAGTCCGGATAACGGTTTTTCCAGTTAAACCGACGTCCCCAAAAACTCGTTAAAACGGACCATTTAAATGCATGTACTGTATACAGTATTTGACTTAAATTTAGTAGAGCATTGTATTTACACACGTGATCACTGGTTTCAAATCTTTCCCACGAGAACAGTCGTTTCAATACCACCCACTTCCTGCCGATCTAGTCCGGTTATTCCGATGTGCTGATAAGAATTGTCCGGTTAAAGAGATGTCATTTACCCTGAGTGTAGGCCGGTTAAACCGATGTCCGGTTAAAAGGTGTCCGGATAAGAGGGAGTCTACTGTAACTTGATTAGCTTAAGTTATCTTACCTTAATTGTTTAGGTATCTACCCTACAACAAAATTGTTTGTTTCTAACTTAACTTACAAGCTCTCTTTGAAATTAAATTAACAGTAACTTAAACCCTAAAACATAATATCTATTAAATTGCAGTAACTCAATAATTGTTACTACGTCGCTGTATATCTTTCAGATAGGCCTAGACAAGTAACTTAAAAAGAATCAATTTGAAAAAAACAATGGCACCCACTTCAAACATTATTGGATACTGGGGAAAACAAACGGCTACTATTGATTGGTGCGAGAGAAATTATGAAGTGAGCTTCTATGTCGCAGAATGGTGTAAGTAACTTAGGCTATGCAATTTTCCTCTAAATAAAATAGTACACTTGTTTTAATCATTTATTTACTTCGTACTGTGTTGTTTATCCTGAATCACATTGACAAAACTGTAAAAAGGTTAAAATAGTAGTAGTACCGTACTGCCTTGGTATTCATTGGCTCCTATAAGTTACCTAAGTTGGCCTACTGAATGACCTGTTTTGATGTACCTAGTAAAAACATCATCATGTCACAAAACTTGAAGATTTAAACCATTGTAATGATGGTCGAGTCAAAGTTTACTAAAACACACATCTAGGCTACCTAACATTAAAAAGTAGGCCTAAATGTTTAACCCTCTCTCTGTTACACGTCGGTTTTCCAACGCATTTACGCCATTTGTGAACGACCATAAACATTGTGTGTTTTTTAAAACTAGATTTTATTTCCTACAGTTTGCCTATATTGAAAGCTTTTCTTGGTGAAGTGGGTTGAAGTAGTGACAAAAAAAACTTCAATAAATTAAAATTATTTATAAAAAAACTTTGGATTTCAATGCTGAAATTTTTTTTAGTAGTACCAGGTTAGTGCCATTATCATTTTATGTTTCCTTACGGCTGATTTCAGGCTAAATAAAATACAAATGAAATATGTTTACAAATTACTGTATTTATTTCGTTATAATTTTGGGGTTGCGCAATGACCTCGAAGTGAGTGCGGGCCACAGTGAGTCGAGTGGCCGGGGGTAAGAGGTGGGTGCAACTTTGAAGCTCGTGGCTTTGGCAACATAATTGCAACGAGCTCAAAATTATTGTATAAGATTTTTGTAATGTTCTTTGACGAGATGATCACGTCACACCGTATTATATAAATTCTTCTCTCTTTTAAAACTGTCCAACGTTAGAGAAATACGCATTATAAAGATAACTCATTCGGCCATCAATCTCAAAATTCCAAATTAGGCCTATCTCGCAAACAATTTTAGATTTTTAGATTTTAGATTTTTAAATCAAAGAGGTGCAAGAAATACCCGCTCAGGCTCATTAACTCTCCAAATTCCTCACCATAAGACAACAGTTTTTAATAGATCATTTACACAGTAACAGCATGTCACCTTTGGAACTCCCTACCACACTATCAGGAGCATATAATCCCGTTCCAGACTGACGGCGGCGCTGAAAGCGTACTACCTCGATTGGATGACCCTTGGTGGGATGGCGTGCGTTAGGCCTAGGTATGGCAAAGAGAACGTGTTTGTGTTTATGCGTATATTAGGGACAAAGATTTATAACTTAAGTTTTTACTTATTATTTTGTTTATAGTTTTACAATTTTTATAAAAATGTATTTTATAATATGGATTCCAAACGTACATGGGAAACAATACCGCGCATCTAGAAAGACCTCAGAGCTACACTCGTCAGTGCAATACCTTAGCCAACTGAGCCATCATGTCATCTTCGGCAAGCCTGGACAAGTGAACCAAAGGCTAAATGTTACATTAGCGCTCCTACCTTATATTTGACAAACTAGTAGGTACCTATCTGTGGATTAGCAGTATGGCTACTGGCTCTATAAAATTCCATGACGAGCTACACCCGTGACACAATCTTTGGGCTAATATTTTGTAGGGAATGTGCTGACATAAAGTATTAGTTCAATCTATTACATTGTTGTAATTCTGTTGCTATTTACAGGGAACACAATAAGCAACCTTATGATTATACTCCCACCATTATGGGGCATTGTTGAAGTCTTCAACCAAGGATTTGAGAAGAGATTTATCATATGCAACTTTTTGGTGTTTAGTAAGTTCATATATTTTTGTTTGACAGATTTAAACATATAATAGCCTTGTCCACACATGGCGATTTGTCTGCGGAAACATTGTCTGCTGACTGTCTCCGGAGTGTTGCCATTTATCTCCAGCGATGTGTCCTGTCGACCGACTCAGTCTCCATGTGTGGACTAGACTTCAAATCAAATTAATGGGAAATCAATTATAGTAGAGCAAACTACTATAGTTGAAGTAGTTGTATGATTTTTGTACATTGTTGTCTCGGAATAAAGATTGATTGATTTGATTTGATTTGATTTGAAGTTTGTCCCACAATACATGAAGTACGTTATTAATTTAATAATGTATAAGAAATTGATTTTTCTTATAGGCCGTACCTCCACTTGCCAAAATCTTAGTAATTTTAAATATGCTATGTATTGATGGATATGTCAAGGCAATAAGAAAACCACTTGTCATCAGATTATTATATCTTTTGTTCAACCTGTGACACTTTAAGGTCATTACAGTTAGGGATGGACGAGATTGGATGTTTAGTTCGAGACGGGACAGGATTTTTTATTTCTTATAAAATTTAGAGATGGGAATTTCCCTCTCGTACATAACGGGAAATGCACGTTTGACATTTTAACCTGATTTTGTAACATTGTTAAATACCTACTGATTTGACAGATGACTGGCTAAATAAAAAAATAATAATAATAGGCAAAAATCAAGAATATTTAAAATATTTGATTAAAAACATCAGTATAAAAAAAATATTAATTAGGCCCACCTTACTAAAAATAACTCTTACACATAGGAATCATGGTGATATCAGTTAGGAATTAGTTCCAACTTTGAAAAATACAAAATTTATCAGATTGAAACATCAGTCTTACTAGTTAAGTATCAAGTAACAGTTTTTCGGTCTTGTGTTATTTTTAGAATGATTTTGGAGTAACTTGTTTTGGCTGTGTGTAAGTAGTAAAACATGTCTCACACTGCTTACATTTAACAAAACTTCTCATCATTTGCGATGTCATAACATATAAAGAATTCATTAAATAAGATCGCCTTCACCAAGGAAATGCAACAACAACTCGCTCCTGTATTGTGGGTATTGCCTTTGACTATCAATACAACGTATTGCACTGACTTTTTGCAGGTGTTTTAACTGTTTTTTTTATACAGTAGAACCTCGCTAATCCGTCATTTACGAGACCGGGAGCATGGTTCAAAAACAATAATGTGGGAGCTTATTGCATATAAATAATGGGCAGAAATATTTCAATATAAAACACATTAGACTAAAGAAACACATTTTGGCACGGTCAGACCAAGCGAGGAGTCGGACCATCCGAGATCGGATTAGCGAGGTTCTACTGTAATCTTGTCTTTAAAAAATCTCGATCAAAATAAAATCTCGTCTCGTAGAACAAGATTTAAAATTTCTTGAAATTTTGAAACCTGTCCATTCCTAATTCTAAAACCATAAACCATACTCCCTTAGTAGATTTCTAATTTCTAATTTCCTTATGGAACAGCTGCATCCCATTTTATTATTAGTTCTGTACGCTGCACTGTAGAGGTCGTGTTTTGTTTAAATTTGTTCCTTGTTATTTCAGTTATTTAAAACCTCGTTTAGCGAAATAATACGATCTAATCATAAACAATAACTCGTCCCGTAGTTATATAACCAAACAGTAAAACACAAATAATGTAATTAACCCTAAAATAATAGAAACAAAATTTTGTTGACACTAGTGATCAGTGTTGACGTACTTGAACTAGACACAAAAATGAGTTTTAAAATTTACAATGGGATGAGAAATCTGCTTGGTTAATTGGTTAGTCTTTGCTAAAACAAATAAAAGCCGCTGGTAAATTTTAATTACTTACTGTACTATTTAATAAGTTCTATTGGTGTGAAAAATAACTATACAGTAGAACTCCAATTATCCAAACTCCAACTACCTGATTTGCCGATTATCCGAATTGCTCACAGAAATAATTTAAGACCACAGTAATAAGAATCGTTATAAAGAAGACAGGAACCGTGATAGCAGAAAAATCTAAAACCTGTCTTGCGATGATGTTGAAACCATCATCGTCTTCCGGGGTCACAGAAACATCGTTATCCTTTTTCGCGATCGCGACAAATTGATAAAAATATCCTCCATAAATCGTAAAAATCTGTTAAGAATAGGTAAGTATGCATCTGTAATAAAGACCTTTTTGTATTAAGTACTTTGAAGAAAATTGATATTTTTTCAACCTGTAAGTATTTCATGTATATCTCTAAATCTTTTAATGTTGTTTTACAGTTGTAGGAGTGGGGTCCTGGTGCTTCCACATGACTTTACTGTATGAAATGCAGTTGTTTGATGAACTGCCAATGATCTATGGGTCCCTGTTCCTGTTATATTGTGTGTGAGTATTTTATACCAAATAATTTAGTGAAAGAAACGTTGCAATATGCTCAGTTACTGTAGCCAATGGAAAGTGTTCTCCATTATAGTGAAGTTCTTGTCGCTTGATAGAACCATATTGTTCTGTTATGTATATAGGTAGGCTGATTGATCCTTCCTAACCACCTTGGTGGTATAGGCAGTAGGCACTCTCTCCAACAGGCTTTAAGATAGAAACTAATGTGTATAAAAGGGTTTACCTATTGGACAAACTATTCTGATAAACAGATGGAAAAACATACAAAATATTACTCCAGACACTGACATTTTCCTAGTTATGTCTTCATATGTAATGTGTATGTTTTTGTTATCATATATGTTAGGTTAAGTTACCTAATCTACTCTAACCTCATATGTTGAAGGCAGAGTTGCATCTAAAGTCAACTCAATCATCATCTGACAGTCCCTGGACACTTTTAGAAGTAGATTAGATTTTATTTACAACTTTGACACACCTGGGAAATATTTTAAGGGGTAAAGATAAAGGAAAGTTTCGTGACTGATTGGATGACGTGATAGACTTGTTATCGACTAAATGCTGGGGGGGGGGGGGTTAGGCTTGTTATCGACTAAATGCTGGGGGGGGGGGTTAGGCTTGTTATTGACTAAATGCTGGGGGGGGATAGTAACCACTCAGCTACCAGAACCTAGATTTAACACGATCATAGGAATTATTGCAAACAAAACACTCTCATAAAGACATATTCATCCCCAACTATAGTTCGGCCGCTTAGAAAGCGTCCTCCTCCAGCATTGGTTTAGCATTAGCGCGCAGGTCGTTTTCTAAGCGGCCGAACTATAGTTGGTTGTTATTCATGTCTTTGTTTTAGTATTAGTTTAAACATTTATTAAATAATAAAGTATTTAAAATAGGAACTCTCTAAACAGAAAACTATTTTCAGTAAGTGGTTATGAGGATCCAAACCATTCTAACCTTTTATAATACACCATGTATATTAACTACTGTTATATCTTTCCTTCCAGGTATGAGGCACCCAAACCCTACAATAAACATTTCTTTTCCAACATTCCCTTGTTCACGTTCCTGTTCGGTTTTGCCATACTGTTTACGGTAATGTACTTATGGTGGCCTCAGCCTTTGTTCCAACACGCCTCCTATGGAGTAATAATTCTCTGGTCCTGGATTAAGGAAACTCAGATCGTTCGACAAAAAAAGTGCAAAACATGCAAGAGAATACTGATCATGTCAGTGGCGATGTTTTGTTTTGCCTTCTTCATATGGAATATTGACAAAGCTCTTTGTTCTACATTGGAGTAAGTATTACCCACTGAGAGCAGTAACCTAGTTAGTGTAGGAGTAAGTATTACCCACTGAGAGCAGTAACCTAGTTAGTGTAGGAGTAAGTATTACTCACTGAGAGCAGTAACCTAGTTAGTGTAGGAGTAAGTATTACCCACTGAGAGCAGTAACCTAGTTAGTGTAGGAGTAAGTATTACCCACTGAGAGCAGTAACCTAGTTAGTGTAGGAGTAAGTATTACCCACTGAGAGCAGTAACCTAGTTAGTGTAGGAGTAAGTATTACCCACTGAGAGCAGTAACCTAGTTAGTGTAGGAGTAAGTATTACCCACTGAGAGCAGTAACCTAGTTAGTGTAGGAGTAAGTATTACCCACTGAGAGCAGTAACCTAGTTAGTGTAGGAGTAAGTATTACCCACTGAGAGCAGTAACCTAGTTAGTGTAAACAGATGGATTTTTACATTCAAGCTCTGAAATTTTGTCTGATACATGTAACTAAAAGGCTGTTTCTAAGTTTATTGTTAAAATCATGATTAGTCACTTAAAACTGGTGGTATTTGGACACCAGTAAGTGAATGATTTGACACAGTATTTAATAATAAGTATCATATTAAAATCCAATTTAATGCAATAGTAGTCTAAAATTATTATCAAACAGAAACGTTATGAAGTGATCCATATTTGTCATACTGTTCAAATGCATACTGTATGATTGTTGTCATTTAAGTAATATTGTGTATTTTTAAATTGTTTCAAATTGTCACAATTAGTTTTTACTATCACATTATGCTAACATAGAAAATATGCAGGGTGTCCAGCCGACCTGAAAAACTAGGAAAACCGGCAAGTGTTTTTGAATTTTGAAAATTCATAAATTTTTTAAAGAATCTTTTATGGCAGTAATATTTCTGTCACTAATTAAATTTTTTGCCACAATATATGTCTTGTTTGGTGACACAATACCAGATAAAAAGTTATAAAACTTACATTTTTATTAACCTACTAAATCCTGTATTAAACGTTTTACTTAATTCCTATTTCCAGGTTTTTTATTACTATTTTCTTTTCATATAAGTAATAAATTTTGAAATATTTACAATAGGCCTATAATTATGTTAACAAAATGTTCACTATTGTTCAAAGATGGATTTGCAATACAATGTCTAGTAAATGAATAATTTTCCTCAACTACTAATTGAAAAGGGTGGCTTTATTAAATGTGTTAAGCTGCATATTTTTATGAAAACACAAAGTAGTTTACTTTTTTCCTTATTGTAGTTTACATTTTAGAAACTTAATCCCAACAATGTTTGTGGGGGTTTGTTTAGGAAACCAATTCACAGCACTGCTTTGAATATATCATGTCAGGTTAACTTAAATAAACAAAATAAATAAATAATTCTATTTTCGTAAATGACTAAAATGTTTACTGTCTGTTTAAGTAACTTCCGAGGAAGGGTTCCTTCCGGGGTCGGTGCTCTGACACAGCTTCATGCTTGGTGGCATGGTTTCGCTGGATACGCCTCGTACTTGCAGATATTCTTTTGGTAAGCTCACATGTCGTCACCTATTATTACCGGTACATCTTTTGTTACAGCTCAATTAGTATTTGGTGAATTAGAATAGAAAGGAAATGATTGTTCATCCCAAAAAGAGTATTTTTACTTATTACTTTCCATATTTCAAATTAACTTAGTAATAGTATAAACTGTTACGATAAGGCAATTAGGATCATAATCCGGTTGCTACCCCCCATAGGCTATTTCCAATTTAAACTCATATATTATTAACTGAAACAGTAAATTCTGATGCCTAATGTGACTAAGCCAAACCAAACCAGACAAATTGACCAAGTCTATGGAAACATTTTTTATATGATGTGAGCTCAAGCCAGAAATTCAAACTGATGTTATGATAAGAAGGGTTTATGTTAGGGCATAAAATAACATGTTAACTGGGTGACACAACTGTCGCCCAGTGCTGAGATTTTGTCGCCCAGTGGCTATGGGCAGGGCCGGATTTAGCATTTTGGCGCCCCCCTAGTCTGGTCACAGTTTCTTTCCTAGAAACCTTTATTAAAAACTATATCATGCCTATAGGCCTATGTTAATTGTTTGAACACCACTCCTCGTCGGAATTTTATCATTGCAAGTTTTTTGAAGAATTGTCTTGGTTAGTCTTAACAAAATGCCGTCTTAAACACTTTTGTACATATTATGCTTTTGGCAAATGCTCACACTTGTGGGACTGAAACAAAACAATCCAACCCACAGAGCATTACTGCAAAAAAGCATATCCATTGATTCCGATTTCAGGCCCCAAAACATGAACTCCAAAACAGTACGTGATACCATAGATTAAACATACTCCTTTAGTAGATTTGTCATCCTTAGGGATTAGCTGAAAACAATTATTTTTATTTAAGTTATTTTTAAACCTAGTTTGTTCAAAATAAACGATCTAATCATAAACAATAGGTCGTCCCCTGGTTATATTACAAGAAATTAAAACACTCAACATAGAACTAAATAAAAATATTGCAAAGTGTATAGAAATTCACTTACTCTGTATAGGTTTGCTTGTAACAAAGGTATTTTCTCTACAGCTTGTTTGCTCAGTTACTTATGTTGCCAAAGATTGATGGATTTTTGTGTTATTTGTCCTCAGTATACATGCTTGGTACGATTTCCACAAGAGGAAAGGAGAGAAGCGTTTGTTGAACACGACTCATGTTGGTTTCAGCTTAAGATGGTCTTAGTGCCACTTAGTCCGTCACACCCACTCTCTTATATCAGGTAGTAGGTTTTGCAATTTTAATACTCTGTCACAACATATCATTCTCTTTCTAATTAGTTTGCTAGCCACCTAGTCAACACCAGAATTATGCAAGGGGTGATATTTTAAGAAAGGGCCGTTTGTGCGTATATTTTCTTAGTCGGTCGACGTCGAACTTAAAGACTCGATTTATTTATTCAATTTGTAATTTAGCAAACGCTGTTTCACGGTTTAAATACCAATGCACTCCGGAAATCGAACAATTGATTTCGTTGACGAAATACACGTTACGACTACCAAAAGTGAGTTTTGCGAATTGAAAAGGAGAATTTAAAGATTTCCGAACATCACGGCTCAGAGCCTAATCCCAAGTGAACCGTTAGAAAGACGTCCACACAAGTCAGCAAGTTGATATCACTCCGCGCTCACGTGATTGGCCGTTGTTGGGTCCTTGCCTTCGCGCGTTTTCTGTTTGATTTGATTTTTCAATCGGTACATCACGTATATGCTGCAATGAGTCCCCTCGACGTTTACTGGCATCATTTGTGAACAGAACGGCGCAATTTCAGCTCCGGAGTTGACGTGTACGCTTAGCTGTATGTTTGAAACATTTTTAAAATTATTGAATCTCCTACCATATTTGATATATAATGTCAGTGATTCGTTTTTATACCACAAAAACCTATCCATTGCTGACATTCATCGCCAGATGACTGAAGGTTATGGCCCGAATGCAATGATAGAGGGTAAAGTGCAGGGGTTAGCCGGGTTAAAACTGGGCATGAAAATCTTTTTCCTTAGGCCTATGTGGTCTGTATTCACAACAGACCTTCCGTAATGGACATTTTCACGGCCATTATTAAACTCTTATACACTTAAATAAACAAGAATATCAAAAAGAGAAGAACACAAACGTCTTACCTACTCAAGAACTCAGGCAACAACAACAAAGGTAAATTTAATACAACAGTGTAGTAACGTCAGTTCTCACTCCTACCGCACGAGTGGCTTAGGCCGCGGCTCCACTTGCCGTAGATTGCCGCGCTGCAAATTGTAGCTGGTCAGTTGAGGAAATGGGAAGGCAGCGATCAAACCAAGGTGGCTCCACTAGCGACAGTCTGCAGCACGCTACATTTTACGGTGCGCGGGAATGGAGCTCGGACCATTTTCGCGCTACATTTTGCAGCCAAGAGGTGGCTCCACTAGCTGTAGATTGTAGTGCCGCGTCAAGTCAGTGTGAGTGTACATACAGCCGACAGGCGTCAGGCATAAATGGACAAGACACATGCTACAATCAGTATCGACTTTTTATTGTCCAGTTTTTTTATTTTTGTGGACTGATTTGTAATCAATGGAGCCTGAACTGGACTGTGAAATTATTATATTAGAAATTATTATATCGGGAGTGTGGGAATCTATAGAGGTTGTGTAGGGGCTTCCTACTTTATATTATAAAGTAATTCAGTAGTAATTGAAGAATCAAATACGTGAAAACATTCAATTTGTTTTTAAATGCAGCAGTTTTACAATTGTTATGATTATTAGCCCTATAATAAAAAGCTCCTAATGGCTGCTTTAGATGATTATCAATAGGTACAACAAAAACTCATTGATATTCACCTTACATTGGTTACTTAGAAATATTACTTCTGAGGGTAAATGAGTGTAATAAAATTAAAATAGAATAGAAATAGAGATAAAATTACCATTATAGTAGAGTAATTTGACACACCAAGGATTGTTGAAGCGAGGGTTCACTGTATAAAATTAATTAGTTAAAATTCAGTACACTAAAATTACCTTAATGACAATGTCACTAAAAGCCTTTACTTTACTCCAATTGCTTCTCTTGGTGTGGTATCCTTCTTCTTCAAACGTGTTGATACTGATTCTATTAAGTAATCAAAAGAGTTTTGGGACATTCGATAATATAAAAAAAACTTGTCTGAATACTTTTGCAGTTTAGTATGTAATGTGTGGAACATCCCTTCGGACTTTCCGTTGCTTAATATTGGATGGATCCACCATTTTTGCTGCTGTGATCGGCGTCGTCTTGATAAAGTACACTGATAACAACACTACGAATGTTAATTTGCGGCATGATCCAGGACCAAGTTTACCTCCGCACTACACTAAACTGCTAGTGGAGCCATGGTGCATGTGAGGACGCTGCAGATAGTAGTTCGTACTCTGCTGCTAGTGGAGCCACCAACTGTAGTGTGTAGCACGCTACAATTTGCAGCGCGACAATTTACGGCAAGTGGAGCCGCAGCCTTAGCCCTCCAGCCAAGCAACAACTGCTCTTCTAGATTCTGGTGAGGACATTAGGGGATTCTAACGCAACAAGTTTATGGTTCAATGAGAGTTCTGCATAGCTGAGTTAGGTCTTTATTCTGTTTTTAATAGTTTGTCATGGATTAATATACCAGTGTAATTTAAATCTAAGTATTTTATATTTATCATTGTTTAAACTACATTTTATCTTGCAGGTCTAAGAATTGCAACCATAAACAGTTATAAGAAAAAAATCCCATCATCGAGTAACAGGCTGTGATACCTATAGGTTCTGGTTTATAGATCAGCCTTGCCTACAGTCAACAATATTACTTTGTGAGTAATAGTTGATTACTGATTACATTCATTGGTTACTGTAAGAGAAACTTTTAAATCGTTGCATTACTTGTATTATGAGAGTTTGTTTACAACCCATAAAGTTGGAACCTTGGTACTTAAAATTGTGTCAATACTGTCTATGTCAATCAAGTTGTGATGAGATGATGTGATCTTATTGTGTAGAAATCACTTCAGAATCAACAACGGTTTGCTTCATTAAGCTTTGTATTTAGTGGCCATATCACTCTAGTCCAAACTTCTCACCTCGTAGTTGCATGTTCGTATGGAACAAGTAACAAAATTTCATTAGCAGGGATTTTTAATCTACTTTTACATTGTGTCTTAAAACCTTTTTACTACTTGTAACTCTGTACTTTAAATCCAAAATGCTATTGTTGGTTTTAACAAATATTTTAGTATTAAAATGAAACTATTTGATGAGACACTATACTTCACTGTGTCCTTTAGGCCACATCATGCCTTGAAATTTAATCCTTTAATAATTAATAGTAGTTTACACAACGATCGCGTTATGACTATTTACCCTAGTTGCGTACACTACTTTACCTACAAAAGTGTTTTAATAACTCAATCACTACGGTACTCATAACTTCTAAGAGAGGTTATGTCTTTGTTTATAACCTCTTATTGTAACTGACAGTGATGTAAGAAATCATTGTACCAAACGCTAATTGCAACACTTCTTTCATTGACAATTAAATTGGTCTGAACAGCTGATTAGTTTAAGTTCGACGCATTACAATTTTACTTCTTTTCTCACGATCTTTGAACCTCACTGGTCCATTACCTGTGTTGTTAAGTAAAAAAACAATGTTCCAAGTAAGTTAACAATGCTGTTATGTGAATCTTTTCAATTCTAAGAACTGAACTGAAACGGCTAGTTTAAAAAACGGTCGTAGGTAAATAATATTTCCATACAGTATTAGTATTTTAAAAACCTGAGTTTTCAAATACAAAATTGTTGATTGGCCTTGTATTTATTATGGATGTCTTACGTATCATAATAATAGCCTTACCACTCTAAACAATAAACCTTTATAAATACATTAATTAACTCTAGTTTTTCTAACCTTGTACAGTTTATGTTTTTTAGGGGGACACATTTTTTATAGTTTTTTTTTTTTACTCAAACAGTAATGGTTTTGCCCTAACATAAGGTGTTCATAATTTACTTTATGTTTTATTCACTTTATAGTTATTTCCTTTAGTTTTCCAATAATTTTAAACACAGCAAAATGTATTTCTGTCTACTATTTTTTAAGGTGAAAAACATTCTTGTCCTATTCTAATTATAAATATTGGACAAAGCCATCAAAAGGATTCTTAATGACAATAACCATTGGCCTTATTGGAAAAAGAACCTTTTGAAAAATATTAAATATTGTTTGTACCCTTATAATATAAACATAAATGGAAGTTAACTAAAATAAGGGATTTTAATAACTTTGTATTCATAATATACATTCTCTTTTATACACACTTTTATAACTAGTACCAATTTTTAAACTTTAGCCAATAAAACTTACCATAACTCTAGCTTTTAAGAAACAATGTGAAGAAATAGCTATGTTAATCATCATCGTTTAGAAGATGTTTTTTCTTGAAGAGAATTAATTGTATTGATCTTAGTACAGTTAACTCTCCATAGTCTGACACGCTTTATCAATTAATAAAATCGTACCCTTGGTTGTTGTGATATAGTCAAGTATAAGTAAGGCATAGTCTGTTTGGATCAGAATGGACTCATTTTGTAACAAGAATCTCGCTTATTTCTATAAGTTTATTGACTTTGAAGATTGGTGTACGAGCACAAGGAACTTGATTTTAACAATGTTTCAACATACATACTGAATTAACCCTTTGATTGAGTTTATACTCATAGTAGTTTTAAAGATTAACCAATGTAATACATAAATCATTATAATTCATTCATTACAAAATTTGGTAGTCCAACGTTTTTAGCCGATACCCGTTTGGTCCCGACGACTTCTGAGAGTCGACTGTAGTTGTTATCCATTGAAGGTACTTAACTAAATTGCGGAATAATGTCCTTATTATTATGTTGACTATTCAGCTAGTAAACAAATACATTCCAGTAATAGTGCTGATTTCCTAGAATCAATTTTTTATGTAAATTTGTAGGCCTACACCAGGCGCACAATTCAGTTGGTACAAAAGTTTTTTTTAGGGACTACGTAACTCCTGGTTTTGTATATTAATTTCTGGTTTTGACCATCACTGCTATGGTAATACATATTTAGGTCTATTTGTAAATCTGAAAAAATAATTTGTACGTTACCTGAAAGTAAATTTATTATTTTATACTTAATTACTAACTCATCCATTAGGCCTACACAGTTTTAGTTACAGACAAATTAAAATGTTGTATAACGCTATGTGATGGTCATAACTTAAATCATCTAATTTGTTGTTTGACATAACTTTTGTTCTGCAATAAGCCTTTAAAGACTGAACTGTTTTTAAACTCTTCCATAAAAGAATTATTGTAGGAATACAGTACATTGTTCTATACATATATATTGTTAAATATTTTCATTAAGTTGTTTGCTTGTTCAAAAGTTGTCCGTGCAGTGTTTTGAATACTGTCAATGGTTTTAAAACATTTTTTCACAATTTTACCTTTTAATTCACTTATTAAGTTATTACTATGAGTGTGTAACATATTAGAAACCACGCACAACTTATGATCAGCCATTAACAACGCTCTTTAGGAAATTAATGATTGGTGGTAATATTCTTGTTGTACAAGCACCTCCATAAATCAAATTGTTAACTGTTGATTGTTTTGTTTGTTTTTGTTAGTTGTAAAATTGTTGAGTAATTGTTAGTGTTGTTAAGTGTTGGTTGAAAGGTTCTTTTTCTACTACAGTAGATTTTTTGTCACCCTTGATATTTTTGTATAATGCATTGGTTCTACATTTACTAGTCTTAGTTGTATTATTAAAATAAATTGTCAAATTACCCAGAGAGCACAGAATAGAAATAGAGGGGCTACGTATATCCAGCAAGCATTGCGGGCAGTGTAGCCAATCCCCCACCACTTATACGGGCAAGTGGCGGCAACTGCTGCATATAGCGGTAGATCACCTTTTCCAAATGTACGATGATTAGACACACTTAGAGTAGACCTAAAATCATCAAATTTGGCACAGCTACTATAAATTAGTGCTTCTCACTGACAGTAAGGTTGGAATATAAAAAATAATTTTATTGTAATTTTAACAGCTGTTAAAACCCAAAGAAATTATAACATTTTGAATTAGAACATAAAAAAGTAAGTGATTAGAATTTTTTTATTTTTCGGTCAGGAAAGTTTCGTCAGCGGCAAAGTTTGAGAGCTTGAGTTGAATCCTAACATATATTTTTTGGAAAAATTAATGATGAATAGTTTTGGAAATAAATCAGGTAGAAGAGGAAGCAAAATTTGGGACCCGCCGACGGCGATTTTCAGGTGGCTTCACTTCACTTGCCCGATGCCCTCTCTATTTCTATTCTGTGCTCTCTGCAAATTACCTTTAGGTATGAAAGTACACATTTACTAATTACACTATTCTTATTGACAAGCTGTAACAACCTTTGGTTAAACGTGCCTCACAAGGCAGTGTCTCTCCTAACTTATCATAATATGATTTATGGTAAGAAAATAGAAGATTCTACAGATAGAAATGAACTTTGCTTTCAGTTTGTTGTGATATCAGTACACTGGTGGCATAATACAACCAAGCTATTTTGTATCTTAAAATTAGCTGCAGCTTTAACATGGGAAAGGAACGTCTACTTTTGCCTCTTTGGGATGTGTTTCTATAAGCAGAGTTTTACTAATACAAACTAAAATAAATTTAGGAATAAACTATATAATTATAATTATAGTTTAATACATTCATTATATGGGTCCAATAACTGTTAGTATAATTATTTAGTCATTAAGGTTTTAACCCAAATAGCTTTAATATTGAATTAAGGTTTCATATTTGGACCTTTGACTTAGAAAGCAAGAACTCTGTTATCCAATCAGTTAATAAAGAAAATTACAAATAATTATAATAAATTTAAACCATTATTAACATAAACTTTGACATTTAAATTCAATTAGAATCAATTTGCTGTTTATAGTTTATACTTACACACTTATTGAGATTGATTAAAATAATTTATTACACAATGTATTAGCTTAATAAAGGGTTTTAAACATGAGTGGTTTTAATTCTTACCTTTTTCGTGCCAAATATCTACAGTATTGTGTGGTAAGCATGTTGAATCTTAGTAGCATTGGAATGCAAGTGACCAGTATCACAATCATAGTTACAATTCTGCAATACCATAGATTGTTTTGTTGTAAATGAATATTCATTAGATTCAGAAACTCTTTGAGCCCCAGGCATTAGTCATTGATTTAATCATGGACATATTAATCATGTTTTTCTTCTAATAGTCATTAGTCTCATTAGTCTACACAAAGTGAAGATGAGTGAAAAGTTCAGAGGTCCGAATCAAAGAATGCAATCTTCCAGTTGACTTCCAAGCAAATTGTCCATAGGTATACTCCTCATGAAAAAAGGTAAAAATCATCAAATTTTGATTAAATTTGGTACAAACCTACGTTTATTCAAAGTAGTTAGCGAACCGGCATGGTCAGACCAATGGGATAAAAATTGGCTTTTCCATTTTTGAACCTCAAAACGGTCATCGATTTTGTCGTTTGTAGTTAAAATCTGAAATTTCGGATGACAAAAAATTGAAAAGTGTTTATTTAGTAAAAGTTTTGGCTCTGACTTATTTTACTTACTTCTTCATAAGGCCTTGAATCATAAATCCAGAAAGGTATGGTACAAGCAATTTTGCAATTTCTTTCTTAACCATTTGTAGATCTTAAAAAAGAAATAAATTTGGAAACCGAATCGTAGTTGTATGCTTATGGCTACGAGGAAAACAAAAAATATGTATATTTAAAATTCCAATGTCATTTTAATGGAGAGTAAGTAATCTGTTGTAGTTTGCTTGTTTATGAATAGTTCTTTTATAAAATTTAAGAAATGCAATTATTTTATACCGAGCTATATTTCCCTATAGCAGCAAACCTAATGTTATTTAAATAGGAAATTTAAATCAAGTTTGCTGCAGCCGTGGTATTTGCAATGTTATAAATGATTTGTTACTTAATTTTATGTATGTCGCTCATGAAAATGAAGGTTTTCAAAGAAATGTCCACTATTATGTAGTATTTTCCTGTGAATTATAACAATCTAAACTGTAAAAACTAGGTCTAATGAATCAAAGTTAAGTTTATAAAATAATTTATTTCCATAATTTAACATTAATTTTATTTACAAACACTAGAAATAAATATTGCTATTTTTGGACTTATGACTGGTGGGTTGTAAAAGACAGTAAAGATTTCTATGACATCATAGTTTCATACTTTTTGTGTTTTCACTGTAAGGATAAAGGACTATCGTTTGGTTCGAGGAAATTGTTTATAATACATATTTATAACTCTTATACTAATTTATAATTTATTTATTATTATTTATAATGCCACACACCTTCACCACTCCCATGTACACCCGAAAAGTAAGATGATAATATCTGTACAGCTTTCGTTCATGTGAAGTTTCCTTCCTCCAAAACTCTATTGGGCTTATAGTGTTTTATGTCATTCTTTCCTTTACTAACTATTCAATGATTATTCACTAAATTTAGCAGATCAATTTTAGTGGAGTTGAGCATCCCCTTACTAAGTATATAAGGGGGTGGAACTTTTTGCATCAGAGTATGAACTTTAAATGACAGAGAATTGACAAGTAGTGTCTAGCTCATTTAGTAAAAGTTTTGGAATGTTTGTCTTGTTTAACTCACTTCTTCACGAGGCTCTGAATCTTAAATCCGTTTATTACAAACTTAAATTAAATTATTCTATGCTCTTAGTACTTCGTGAGTAGTAGGATGAATATAATAATAGGATCAGGAGATAATGCAAATTGTACTTAAATAGACCTTATAAAAGCTTTTATGTTTTGAAATCATTACTTGGTGCTATAAGATACAAGAATCATCACAACATTTTAGTGTTTGTTTCTTATTAATATTTAGTTGTTATTCAATTCATGTATGGTTTAATCATTTAATCAAAACCAAGATCCTAATTCCAGTTTGAAAAACTTGTACCGGTATTGTTTTATTTGTATGATTAAAGTTTTAACTGTTACTCTTTAGAATAATGCAAATTTAAATTAATGTTCACAAAGAGTAATTTTACACCAAGTAGTTACACAACAAATTATCACTGAGCTTTCCTTATCAGTTTACTACTGAGCTATGGTTTACATCTGTCTTATTAAAGCGATAAGGATGAAGATAGTTGTAAAAAGGCTTGACTTTAATGGACTTGGCAATCTGAGTATATATGGATACTAAATACAATTCTCAACAATAATATTCTGTAATTTTTTCCTATGATGTCTAATTTAAAATTAAATAAAACAAAAAGGTAGTATCTAATCCTAAATTTGAGAGGTTCTGCAATTTAAAAAATAACAAATACTGTATGGTATTTACAACTGTCTTAAATACAGCTATAAATTCATAACATCAATAAAATTCTCTTTTCATATTTAAAGGGATGGTGTTTTTCTAGAGGTAACTAATAACATAATGAAAATATCTTAAGAAAGTATTGATTATTTCACAAAGATGTAAATAACACTTCTTTACTTTCTTTTTCATATCAAATAGAAATTTATATTTATACAAAGCTATTAACGATAATACTATTTTTCTACAATTTATTGCAATTAATAGGTTTTATTTAATCATATGACAACATGTTACATATTTGAACTAGTTAATCAGTTACGATTTATAACTCATTATAGTTGGTAAACATGTTCAGTTCTGGAGGGAAGAAACTTGGCATATTGAATGACAATTTTATAACTAAATGGGCCTATTTCAGTGCTAGTACACCCCACAGGTGACTGGCAAATAATTTAACATTTCAAGTAGACAATAAATATCGACATATGGTTTAAAGAATTACAAGTAATTTTCTATACATTTATACTATTTACAGGTGTATTATACAAAACACAAAATTCTACTCTAACCTCAGTGTTGCACCATCATGACTCGTCTGATCTATTTACTAGCAGATTTTTCAATTGCACATATAAAGCCCTACCTACGACATCTAAGTGGAAGCTTAAAACATTACTTAAGAAAACATAATTATTTTTTCGGTTTTTGTATAGATTTTTGGCCTTGGTCGGAAAAGTGTGTTTATGACACATGGTTGTATATTAGAACCAATCATTCTCATCTGTTTATAAGATGGAAATATTGCAAACTCTGTATACACTTTTAAAATTAAAGACAAGTTAAAAATTATTTACTTTACAGAGGGTGATGATAGTTAAGGCAAGTTTTTTGACATTTTATCATCCTATTCACTTTTAGTCACTTACATTAACATTTAAAATAAACACCGGGATAGATAATATTGGACCTGTTTTCTGTATCTACCATATTCATAAAAAAACTTAAGTTGTGAAAAATGTATACATTTTTTTGTTTCCTGTGTACTAATTTTTACTTACTGTTTAAAATGACTAAAATTTTTATTCACAGAAATAATATTAGTTACTTTATACAGTACACGTCCCGATTAACCGAGGTTGTTGGGACCGAGACTACCTCGGTTACCAAGAATCTTGGATAACACGGAGGTTGCATAGATTTTGAGGTTAGGGTTACGGTACCTTATTATGAAGTCAAATACTTGTAAAATATATCTTCAAGCAACTCATAGCGAATGAAAAATGATATATGTAATTTTGATGCAACCTTTTTTCCAAATAACATAGTACTGTATTGTTAAAGAAAAAAAATAACACAACAAACAAGTTCAACACTTCTTCAATCGTCTTGAAAAGCTTACGGTAAGTAAATTTAATAACACGTACAATGCTGATCGAGAAGTTATTTAGACAAGCTTTAAACACAGTATTATTGTAATTATGATAAACCAATATACTATACTACATTATTTAAAACAAAACCCTAATACGGATCTTTCTAGTTTAAAAAGTATAAAATTACATTTCGTTGTAGTTTCACCTGATCTATAACTTGACACAATAATGTCCACATCAAACACATCAAAACTGACACTGCTATTGTTTATGTTCTGCAGTCATCCAAGTTTAGTTTGCCGTAGGTAGCCGGCCAACCTAGTACTGTACTATACAGTAATTTTAATTCTTAAGGTTATTGCGGTTCATTCTAACGTTAAAATAATACTTAATGGTTATTCCATGTACTGTATTCGTTTCAATAAATCGCAAATTAATTGCTTTTTTAGGTTTCCTTGAATAGTAACATACTATAATAAAGTAATTGTTGTTTTCCTACTGGGAAATAAAATATATATTTGGGCCAAAAATGACCTAGGATAATCAGGGGCTCCGATAATCAGGAGTGTACTGTAACATCCATATGAAGTGTTCTTATGGCTTTGTGAATGTTGTTTATACTTAACTCAGAATTTTTTACATTAAAAACTTACATAACTTGCAGGAAGCGTGAATCTATTTTCCATCTTTTCTAGACCTACACTAAATTTGATTAATTTTACGGCAGTCTAAAGACCGTTTCAAACCTACCTAACTAGGCTAAGATTCAAAACTTAACAAAAACTACCCTAAAAGCTTTATAAGAGCACCAACATCTAAATGACGTAAAACATAAATTAATTGAGCTGTCTTTGTTACAACACAACAACATAACAATAACAAAAACGTAATAACAGACGTCTTAAAACTAGTTTCATCAACTGTCAAATATTTATACAGTAAACTAATTAACCTCTTTGGCACAATACACATTACTTGAACTGAGCATTTGTCACTGAGCTGTCTATCCGCAAGTCTGTTGCGGTGTCGGTTGCGCACGGGCTCGTAGCAGTCTCAGGGCCATCCAGCCAGTGAGGGAGTTGAGTACGACGGTGTTGTCGGGTTGTCGCGCTCGTTGTTGTTGCGCGGCCAGCTGCTGTGTTTCACGTTGCACTCGGTAGCGGTACAGCAGGGAGCCAGCCACGAGTGCTGACACGACAGATGAGACTGCCACCAGGAAGAACAAGACACTGAACCCCGGCACTGGGAGACATATCCCGTACACAACCTCCTCTCTGATTCTGCCTTGGAACACTGTGACAGCCTCCGCCTTGGAGTCCGGGGTGAACGCCAAGTCTGCCTCGGAGATGACCTCGTACAGTCCGCTCACACCCACGTCTGCACTGCGCACCTTGCGGTCAGACACCACCACGGAGCGCCGCCGCCGTTGTGACACTGTCAGTGTACCTATGATAGGCTCTGAATCAGTGTCTAGGTTCCTGGGACCATGAGGAAACCTCTCATGTCCACCGGCTGGTCTGATCTGGGGCTCCTGCAAATGTTGATGGTTAAGTTGTAGCAAGTTAGAACACACATGAACATAGTTGAACACACAAACCAATACAGTATGCTGATATTAATTCCTAATTTCTGTTGAATACGCCAACTTTTTAAGCAAGCCAAACTGGTTATAAATTATTGCTTCTTTTTATGTCACATCGATTATAAGAAAAAACAAAAAAGATATACGTCTAATAACACTAGTAATAATATATTTACACTTATACTGTTGACTCACAAGACGGAAAATATATATGAAAGATGGTAAGTGGTGATCGATTTTGAATGGACACTCCAATCATCATTAGACCCAATAGGCGAATTACAAGAATCAAAAATGGCGTCCCTTATATACTATTGGCTTCCGGAAGTACCGGCCAGTAAGTTTCTATAGGTACAACTATCAACTATCTTCTCCTTGAATTTGAGTAAATGGCTACAGTTGGTCCATAAATGGGATAAGTACTTCAGTATCCAAAACTTCAGATTTTGTTCAGAAATACCTAACAAGTTTGGAACCCAAACAGGTTCCTATTAGGAGAAGGTCACAGAATCTTTATCCGTTGTGATCTATTCTGCTAAAGGTAAAAACTGTACTAAACATTTAGCCTCATTATTGTACTATAGAGTAATGTATGTATTTTTACTTTCAGTGTTTTTTTTAAGTCTACCTTTTTAAGACACTAATAAGCAAAATAATTTTCCCTATAGAAATCTAGAGCATCAAATTAAGTTTGTGATACTTACATGGAAAGGCCGAGGAATGTCGTCCACAATTTCCCTGATGGGTGCAGGGTTCTTGCCTGCAGTTTGATGCTGAGCCTCCGGGTGGTTGACGTTCATTTGCGGCTTTGGCTTATTGATCAGATCGTCCCCGATGTTGGAAATGTCATCGTATATAAGGTCGCCAAAGGTATCTTGAGGGACTTCCGACTTCTCCGGAGGTGTCGGCTTCTGCTGCATCGGGTCTCTTCTCTCCAACGGTCTGTAGGTCTCCTGAGGAACACTCTCTCCGTAGCTTTCATCCCCTATTTGACAATGGTCGAGGCATCCGTGTCTGCAGATCTCCACTTTGCATTTAATGTGAACGCTGAGGGCGTCTGGAAACTTGAAGGCATGGAAGAAAGCATATGTTATGACTGATGCACGTTCGTCCGCTATTCTTGCTTTCAAGAATCTGCTGATCATCTTTGGTCGCAGGACACAGCCGTGTTCGTCGCTCAGCTGGATGATGTGGCCGCCTCCGTCTGAAGCTGCGCAGGACTTCACCCTCATGTCAAACTCTCCTGGAAATTGATGATTCGTGTTTTATTTTGCTATGTTGGCAAAAGTACCCACATTCTCCAAAGGATATCTTAAACCCACTGAGTTTAAATGGAACAGAAAGATGGTCTGTTTTATTACGATGGGTAATGGTAAAAAAAGGTACTTAATAAAAAAAAAAACTATTCTGAAGTAAACTGAACTCTGTTCGCGGTACTGGTCCATCCAAAACCACATACCATTAGAGGAGGGTTTGGCACGAAATCCCTGACTTACTTGTGAGGACAGACTCACAAGTTGACTTAACAATGGGAGACGACTGTCTTTGTTCTGATGGGAGTAAGTTACAATCTACAAACCATTAATCTTATTCAGTAAATTTCCCTTTTTAGCTCTTTGCTTAAATTTATCAATCTCCAAAGTAAAAACTCAAATTTTGTCTTGGAATTTTGATTCCGGACTGAAGGTATATTGTAGACTCCATAGGTATATTTTATTTGGGTATTGTAGTGTTATAATAACCAAAATTAAAAACAACAATGTATACTTTTTCTCTATTTATATTTACAATAATGAGTATGTGTTTATATAAAGTCTTTGAAGTCTTTATTTTTATCCTGCCACATAGTGGTTGATAATTGATAGAGTTAAACCAAAGAGAATGTTACAAAACATAAGTTTGTGCAGATGATTATTGTTCCTATAATCAATGACGGGTGTGTTATTGTAGGCCTACTGTTTTAAATGTATAGACAAGGACCCCATTAGTCTACTACGTTCTAATCAAGTAGTCTTACCTTCTGCAGATAAAGCTAATAGAAATATTACAGATGGTTTTTGTTGGTATCTTTTGTTTCTTGGAACGTAACTACTTCTAAATACTATTTTGACAGTTGGTTTGATTTCCCCATTGTGAAGCAGGGGTAAAGAAACTGGCAATATGATGGTTTGTATCATTCATTCTGGATAACGCAAATGGGTGTTCTCACTCACCCAAATGATTTGCACAAATTTTAAATCAAACTGTTTTCAACAAATGAATTAATATTGTTCTCTCTTTTTGCCAAGCATGGGTAAAGGAACTAGTAAGAAAACAGGTATGGTTTGATGAACAACTCACCCCGGTAATCATTGATGGCCACTACAAGGGTGAGGGTGGATCCCAGAGGCACGATCCCACTAACAGGAGGAGCCCAGGGGCCTTTACCATGCTGGATCTCCATCCAACAGTCCACATTGTCCCCTGAAACAAGCATTCAACTAAATATAACAGCAAGGTCTAGTGTCATATCATTGACTATGAAAGGGCACCAAATTTCCCTTGTTAACTTTATAATAACCTGATAATGTTTACCTTTATTAGAAATATATTCACTAGGCCTACTTTAGAATTTTTTGTAGGAATTAAATTAACCACTCTTCCTAATTGGAAGGTTTTAATGAATCAGCAATTTGGTTTAGGATTCTCTGGATATTATCGTAAGTAAGAGTTTACCCGTTGTTTATTAGAAGCTAGTCTGCAGTTTGATGAACAGTAAGCCAACCAATAGCAGATATGCAGTTTGGGTGAAGGAGTAAAAAAATATCAATGGGAAAATTAAAGAATATTGATTACAAAAATCGACAAGTAAATTTGTGCTTTTGAATTTTCGGCACTGAAAATTTTCAACATTTGATTTTCTGTACAGTTAATTTAAATCCAATCTGAAAATGTAATGTCAATTCCAGGTTATATGTTGTAAAAAACTTACCACAAAACTTGTTAGGAAAGATGTTAAATTGAGAATCCCAAGATAGTATAAAACCATTATAAAACTTAACTTTTTCGTCTCTATAACACAATTCATATACAACAAGTACTTATTTCGACATTCATACTCAAAAAGCTCTATATCGGTTATTTTCAAACTGACCTCTGAAGTCCAACTGTATAACGTCCAGGTCCGCTATCACCATGGGAGGCTTAGAAGCCGTCTTCTCGTAGTCGTTGTACCACTCACACCGCAATCTCTTGGCCTCATCCCACACTTCTAGCAGGTCCTTGTCGTACTGGACCACGACTGTGTTCTCGTAGAATTGCCCGTTCAGGTCCGGCTTGGTGCCACATCTTGCGTACGCGATGCGGAATGAGAAGAAGGTCTTGCCGGTAGACGGAGGAACATAGACACATCTCGGGTCTCCGTACTGCCCCTTGGACGAGACGATGCCTTCGAAGGGTTGTGTGAAGGAGAGATGGACGTCCATATGATCCTTACCACACATCACCTCCAGTGACTGTATGGCAGGCATGCCCTCTGGCCTCTCTAGCGGCCATATGTCACTGTTGCCCGTCTCTGCAATACCAGCCTGTAAATAGAGTACACTGTGAGTATACATGGGCGAAGACTGAGACAGGTTCATGGTTCAGAAAGATAGAAGAAGAAGACCATTGTACTGGAGTATAAAGTTTTTTTTTCACAGGGCCAAGAACGGATCCCTGGGGCACACCTCTCGTTACAGGGGTTTCTGAAGACTTAAATCTGTTTTGATAACCGGTGTGATCCATGGATTGTATTTCAACACATTGTTTCATGCCTTTAAAAAATGACATATACAGTAAGTTATATATATAACTTACATATATATATATATATAATTTATATATATATATGAATTCGAACGGATGGTGTTTTTTGTCTCTAGAGACCTCAAAACGAAAAGTAAATCGGTCCCGGGTCCAGGTCTTACCATGATTACTACGGTAATAGCTTATATGGGAAATTCGCTAACAAGTCTATTGCAATTCTAGGGATACTGATTGCGTATTTAATATGCATTATTGTGTCAAGTAAGTAAGCGAACAGCTGATTTTCGGCCCTAGGGATGTAAAAACCTACTCGGTCCCCAAATAACGATGACAGGTGGCATAGACACCAATAGCTCAAGAAACGTTTGTAAAAGGGCTAAAAACATCGTAGTGTGGTGAAAACCATATTGCAACCATCAATAAGAAATGATTACAACAGATCAAACATTTTCGGAGAGAGAGTTAATAATTGCCGGTGATAAGTGTGAACACGCCGTGTCGTGTTCCGACTCGACGTCTGGAGTGGAGTGAATGGGGAACCATTAGCAGGAGTGAGGCGCCGTTAAAGATTAGTTGGAGCAAGGTGGCGCACGAGACCATCAATGGCCGACATCTGGACCAGCGTTACTGGACCACCCTGTACCGGTATATATGGAGAACCCCCCCCCTCCAAAATACCTAAAAATGCATACGTATAGATTAGATTAGACTATAAATAAGACTCAACATGGTGTTTCCGCAACTCAAAGAGTATGTAGCCTACTACTGTAGAAACATTCGTTAAAAGTAAAGGATTGGTTTTATACCAACAAATGATTTAAGTTTCCAGGTTTGATACAAGTGTCTAATAAATCAACTGTTCATAGACCTGTAAAAATATAAGGAATCCGGATCTGCATAAAATAAAAAAAAACGTGGAACCACAATACAAACTCTGTTTGAGCCAGCGAAAACTTTATGTTGAATCTTATTTACAATAAATCCCAAATAACACACCTCAGAGATAACTCTGTAACAATGCATTTAAGCTGATTGGCAATGAAGTGCAGAAAACATGGATGCCAACATATGAGCTTGTTTTGTCGTTAAACAGTGCCAAAACCACTACTTACAATTTGGGTTATTTGATTCTGCAGCACTCTATCTCTAAACCTTACAGAAGTAACCGTTAAATGGTCTTCAGTTGGTCGATATTGATGGCAAATAAATCCACAGGGGAGTATGGTTAATCTACGGTATCAATATCCTGTGTATTTTTTTATGGAGGATCCGGGGCTAATGTTTAATGATTCTGTCATATTTAAATGTAGGCCTAGCGTTTGCTGTGTGCGTTTTACCCTTTACGTTTAGATTTTAATTTATAACCTAGTTTTCTACTCTATTCTTTGTCAATTTATGTGGCTTGAAATATGCTAAATTTGAGACCTCGCTCATTTTCCGACCTCGGCTTCGCCTCGATCGTAAAGCTCGGGCTTCCGTCGAAAAAAGTCACTTTAGGCCCTATTGGTGAAAATATACTATTATTACTTTGACCAGCTGTAATTTTGGGTACCTATAATCTTTTTGCTTGTATGCAGCAGCTAGTTCAAACAAGTGGTGTACATTTCAAAGAGCGTGAACACTCCTTGAATGCAATGACCTCTCAAGTGTAAATACACATACACAAACAGCTGTTAAGGAAACATGTAAAAGCTCTTTAGCTTCTCCATTCCTTGGAGACCAACTTTCAGTAACGACCTAGTTGTCCGTTAGTAAATATTGGACTAAATGAAACCGTCTGCACTTTTACCCAGGGAATGCTAAAACAATTTCGCTTTTTCTCAGTCGACCTAGTAAACGTGAGTGTTAGCTTCAGCCAGGATTCGGCGTTTCTTATTCATCTCGAGACCCAGAATGAGAAAAGTGAACTCATCATACTAGACGCAAACCATCTCCAGCTATGGAAAGCATTTGTTGTTACGAGTTGGAGTGCACTGATAAATAGGGACTATTATTTCGTATAATTGCCGCTCAGCTGTTCTTGTTTGTTCCACCTCTGCTGTGGAGTAGGTCATACAGCTCTCTCATAGCTAAGAAATTTGCGGTTTATAAAGTATTTAATCCAGGTTAAAGATTGTTGTGGGTTAGCACAATTTTCTTACAAAATACTCACGTTCTTTTAAATATTTTTTCTTGTGTTAAGAAAATAATGATCGCATTGTACATACAGGGTTTTCCTAAATTAATGGTGTAAGTTTCAAATACTGATACAAATATGACCAGGAGAGGTAGAAAAATGAGGTTGGTGTTGGTATTACTGAATTCTTAAATAGTTTTGCTGTGCTACATTGTCTCGTCTTGGAAATCAGCTGTTTCAAAGTTGTCGTCGACGTTTGCAGTTACTCAATAGATATTTGAGTAACTAGTGTGAGAAGTGGCACTTTGCGCTCGCGGTACATGTTATATTCAAATTCAAATATATTTATTATGGAAATTACAACAGCTTGGCCTCACCAAGTTAAAAAAACTTGTCGGTGAGGTCCAATTGATACAATATAAGGCTAACAAACAAATAGTTTACTTTTTTTTCTTTTTTCGAACAAAGTTTTCTTAATATACTATATTTCTACGGCGGTTTGTGGCAGGCACTTTAACTTAAAACAAAGTCCAATATGTTTCCTACAGTTACTATATATCATATAAATAATTAATCTTTCAAACAATATACAAATACAACAAGTTTTGAGGTTAGGTTAAATCCAAGCGTTAAACGAGGGAAACGAAGAACCAGCCAACTCTGGCCCTAATCCGCATATAGAAGTTTGGTTAGCTTAGTTAACAAAATAAACAAATTTGCCAAAACAAAATGGTAAATCGATCCTGGGTCTCCTAGGTCTTACCATGAGACGTGCAGTAATAACTTATTCCCTATTTATGAGAAATTCGCTAAAAGTGGCTATGAGGATTGGAGATGGTGGAGGCCGTATTGAAATAAAAAAGTAATTTTTAAGCGATAAATACTTAACTTTTATCTAAATATTAGAAAACTCACAGTACCTAAAATATACCGTGGTTTGGGAAATCAATAGAATCCGACCAGGGAATGTCAGGGAATTCAGCACTTAAAATATTTTTTGTGGGAACCCTACTTAGAGTAAAAGTGCTGCTATTAGTAAGCCACCTAACCCTGAAAAAATAGACGAACTATACAGAAAGGGTATATGAATGTTATGATGTTTTAAACATGTTATTGACAAATGATCTTAGGTAAAGTAGTGTAAGCAACTCACGTAATTAGCCTTTACGACACTCGTAGGAGTTTTAAACGCACGATCCTTGGCGAGATGCCTTGACATATTTTTACTTGTGTCGTAAAGACGCGATCATTGCGTGGTATATTATAACGTGATTGATATTGTGTGCAAAGTGTGTGCCATTGTTAAGTGAATTGAAGTCAGCGGGTTAAGTGGAAAGGACATTTAGAAGATTATTTTACAAAGCTTCTCCTCATAAAATAATATCCGACGTTGGAGTAAACAGTTCGTAGAAACGAAATCAGTACAAAAACAAAAGACTTCTGGGAGACCACACGTATATCGGTATATCAAAGGGAACTATAATTCAAACTCTTTATACAGGGTGTTTCGTTAGTAAACAACCAAACTCCGGGAAATGGTTCCTTAGGTCAAAATATAGAGAAAATCGAGAATCAAACTTTTCCAAACTTGCTTCTTTTATCCCCAGATATCCACCAAGATGTTTACATAAATACTTTATCTTTGAATTGTTCCAACCGATCTCTATTCAACTTGGTATGTATTTCAAAGCAAAAGAGATCAATATGAGAGAACAAATTAACTTGGCTTAAAGTTAAAATTATCGAAAAGGATGCCATTTTAATTTTAAAAATTAAAATCTTAAGTTGAACTTGGTGTTTTTTTTTTATAGAGACATCTTAAATCTATATAAAAAAATATAATATCCCCGCCGTAGCAAACCTGCAGACTAAGTGAATTTCCATATTTGCCTGATTGGATTTTCAATTAGGGCATAAATCTATTTAAATGATATTAGGTTTAACAAGTACCTGGGTTTGCTGCTAAAAAATGTTAAGTAGTTCGAATTTATTTACAGTTGCCTCGAAATTCATACAAAACATCTATACATTTCAATTTTCTTACTGTTTTAATGAAAATTTATCAATAACATTATTTTCATAACACTTAGGTCAGTTTAATCGAAAGCAGCTGAGTTGATACAGCAACGCTTTTAGAATATTTTTTTTATTTCGTTAATCATTGACATAGTTTTTGAAGGAATGATCTTTGATAAACTTTTTGATTAAATAAACCAACCACACAATTGTGTAAAATATTATATTTAACTAGCTGGCCCGACAGACGTCGTCCTGTCCTATTGTGGTTTTATGTCACATGCTCGTTCATTTTCAAGATGAGCTCGTTCGCATGGCTCAATCACGTACTGGTTGAAGTTCGTTCGCTACGCTCACTCACCTTTAGTTTGGAGCTCGTTCGCTGCGCTCACTTGCCTTCAGGTTAGCTCGTTCGCTACGCTAACTCGCCTCCAGGTTGAAGTTCGTTCGCTACGCTCACTCACCTTTTGGTTGCAAATTAGCTGTTCTCATAAATTAAAAATAAATATAGTGCTGCACCCTGTTGGTAAACCTATTAACTTTTTAATGCTATTGAACATCACAGAATCAAATTGTTTAGTTGCACCAGCTGTTAAGATTCTTTAATTCCATTTAAATATGAGTACTCATAAGGTTAACATGGGAAAC